TGTCCTTTGTCCTTATCTTGAAAAGGAAAATGATGAGGTTGAACTTCATGATCTCCAAGTTCCCTTGAAACTTTGAATTTTACCAGTTAAAGTAGCCTCCTAGTAAAACTTCCATTTTCTGATAATTAACATATGATTTATGGTTAGTAAGGAGTTCCTGAGTGGTGCACATGGTTAATGCATTTGGCTGCTAACTGAAAGGTTGGAGGTTCAAGTCAACCCAGAGGCACCTTGGAAGAAAGGCCTAGTGATCTACTTCTGAAAAATGAGCCATTGAAAACCCTATGGAGCACAATTCTACTCTGACACACAATGGGGTCGCCATGAGTAAGAATCAACTCCATGACAGCTAATTTTCTTTTTATGTTTATTTAGTTCATGGACTATGTGTACCTATTTCATTTAATTTTGTGCTGATGTGCTAATTAAATATCAGGCAGCATGGGTTTCAGAAATTGACTTGGAAGTAACTTTAAGGTGCTAGGACAATCTTAAACATTTTTTTTTCTTATTTAAAGTCACACTTTTAACGCACATTTTCATTCTGAGCATATTGCTGCTGCAGTAAGGTTACATATTTATACACAGGCCATTTTATTTGTTCCACAGCAGACAGTTAATAATGGTAATCAAATTCTACTAATCTAAGAGTTAAGAGAAAAGTATGAATATTGGAGTAGTAATCTTTTTAAGTCTCCTCCAATCTCACCCCTACCTCCATCCCAAATCTTTTTCCTTGGGGCAGTTCTGGAGAAATGAAGAAACCCAAGAGAACATAAAACACACCTTTCAAGATATCCCCCTGAGGGTCACTCTGTGCTTAAAAAAAAAGTGAAAAAGTAAATTTGTCTTGTTGATTACTCTGTTTACAGTTTAATGGTTTATTGGTACAACTGAGAGCTGTTGTCATCATGAGGGACTGTTAGTACATCACTCTGTTTGCTAAGCCTAGCAAAGTAGGACATTTTGCTTACCTTCTGTCTTTTGTTCCCTCAGCTAATTGCTATGCATTTAACAGAAGTCCCTGTTAATAACAGTGGAAGGCCCTCATCTGAGCAAACAAGCTGTTACTCAGAAGTCACAAACAGTATTGATCCTTTATGGCTATCAGCTACTTTCACGACTATTTAAGAGTAGTGTAGGAAAGGATAATGAGACAAATATGAGGCGCCTGTATTTTAGGTGTTTCCCCCTATGCAGATTTCTGAAGGAAGCCAGATAGTTCCCATCTGTGTTTTTTGGAAACAAGCTCATTTGAGTTGGGCCAAGAACAAGGTTCTCATTCCAGACACTTTATAGAACCCCACCCCAAGAACATCTGCAATAGAAACTATTGTCGTTAGGCGCCGTCAGGTGGCTTCCAACTCATATTGACCCCACATGACAGAGTAGAACTGCCCCATAGAGTTTTCTAGGTTGTAATCTTTACAGGAGCAGATTGCCAGGTCTTTCTTCCACGGAGCTGCTGGGTAAGTTCGAACTACCAACCCTTTGGTTAACAGCCAAGCCCTTAACTCTTGCACTACCAGGGTACCTTCATTTTTCACCTGTTTGGACTATTTCAACCTTTCCCCTTTATCGACAGCTTTTTGGAAGAGAATCTTACTCCTTTCACCTTTTGTTTATTTTTATAATTCCAAGCATACTTCTTTCAATGTCGTTTTTACCTAATTTTGTAGACAGAATATAATTTCATATTGGAAGTGTTTTACCAATGAAAAGAATTAACGTGGTTTATATGCGTGTGAAGTTTTGTAGGGGTATGTGTGCAATCAGGTCTGCCAAAGAGTCTATATTGTTACAAAAATAATGCTCACCACCTCCATTTACAAATGCTTTAACAGACTAAATTTGTAAACTAACTTGCAACTAGTGTTTTAAATGTGATTACTGTTGGGAAAAAATAATTTCCTGTTTTTAACGGGAGAATATTTGAGGAAATCATTCCAGTGTTATTGAAGTTTTGAACTTAGGAAATTTTTATGGAAGTGAAAAGAACATATTTGTGTATCACGTTAAAGGTTTTTAGATTTGAATTTAAAAAAAAAAAAAAGAATTGATACTTCAGTTATCTAACCCAGATCTTACAAGGCAGAAACTGAGGTTGTAAGACAGTTACCTATTATCTAATGTAAAATTCTTTTTTATTAGGAGCACTGAATTATACTAATATAAAGAATATTTAACATTTTCCAAAAGAAGCTTAAATATACCTAATATTCACCTTTCATTACCTAGAGTCTGTTCAAATTTCACTGAGTCAGGACTATCTTGGTCAAGCAGGAGTCCTAGGAATTGCAGTTCTTAGGAATTACTATCCTGGAAATCTGGTGAAGAGGTGATTTCCATTTTAATTATTTAATTTTTTCCCACCCATACCATCACCTTTAAAATTTCACTTCATCAGAAGGTTTATTAATTTAAAAATGCTAAATGAAGAGAGAGACTTTTTTGTCAAGTAACCTGGCTAAAGTAAGTTATAGCATACAAGCATGTACAAGCATATTTGCCTCAGAAATTTTGTAAATGTTGATAATGCTTGTCTACATTCTAAATAGATAATCAGGATTAAAATTATATTGTATATTTTCGGTAATTAAAAGGAGATTAATTCATTGCTAGTTAGTAGCCTGCCAATTTCTTTGGCATTAAATTATTGCTGTATGTGTTCAGTGATCATTCGGTATGTATTTAAGCATATTTTTTGGTTTGCTGGAAAATATTCCTATTGCATCTATATTAACTATAAATGAAAATGAATGGTTGTAATTTAGGTTTAACCTCTTTGAGACTATTTTTACGCAAGAAAAGTGAAAAAAAAAATGTTGATCTTAAGTGTCCAGTATGTGGTCAAAAACAGCCCACATGACATTGAGGGGGAGGTAAAAATAAACCAAACCAAACCACATAACAGCAACATCAACAACAAAAAGCTACCAGTTAATATACGCATCTTACCAAGCAGACATTGTGTTCTGCAGATGTCTGGTTATGAAGCTAATCAGTGAGTGATGTTTAGGTTGACCTGGCCTCGTCAAAGTCTATTTTCTCTCTGAAAACTTCTAAAATCTAAGCTGAGAGCCCTGTGAACACTAACCTGAAATTAACCATTAACAGAATTAACAACTGTGAGGCCTAAATATACTCCTTCCCTCCTCCTTTCTTGAGAATCATTTAATTGATTCAAAATCAGCATTTTCATTGACAAGGGCAGAATCAATGAATGGTCCCTAAGGTAATCTTTATTGAAAAATCGGGTTTCTTGAACTGTTTTCTGACTGTTTTCATAGTATTATATTTTTCTTTTTACGTATTTTAAAAGAGACAACTGTTTCACTTTGTTGCTGTAAAAAAAATTTCAAATGGGCCCATCACAATGAACTTCTAGTTAGATGACCCATTTTTGAGAACATTTTAAAAGTCTTGCCTATTGCCTCTCACATTCTAGACTCTCAGCAAATGTACTTCTTTAAAATAATCAATGTCTTCTTTTGATTTAAAATTAATCAAGTATGCATTTTATCCTTTATGCAAGTATTATGATCCATTTGAAGAATAAATATTTTTCTCTATTATTTAATATATTTACTGGTTAATGACTTCTTTATGAGATGTGTCCTGAGCTGAATCTCTATCATCTATCATATCTGTGTATCTGTCTGTCCATCTATCTGTCTATATACATGAAAGAATTTTTTTTCAGTTCTTTATATTATAAAAGTATTTTTTACCAGAAATATCAGCATAATTAAAACACAGATTTTAGAAATTTTAAGTAATACTATTGGGGCCTCATAGATCTGTAGAGAAACGAGCAAGCCCACTGTCACTCGAAAACCCCAGAATCACTATTGCTTAGAGTGCAGAAACAGAAACTCCGAAGTCCAAAAGGAAAAGTGAAGATTCTTCATAGCCGTATTTTAAAGCTATAACATTATACAAAGAATTAAAGGAACTTATCCAAGTTTAAAGGCACTTTGACTCCAATCATCATCTTATAGATTATCTCACTGCAAAGCAGCAAACAATGCTCTATGAATTGCTGTGAATAAGTCATCTTTTCAATGAAAAATGCTACTCTATGCAAGATGCAGTTAATTTACAGCATGGCTGTCTAAAGGTTAAAAACCCGTGATTTTCTAGTGTGTTTTTCCCCCCAAAGCCAGATAAGTTTACTTTCTTAAGCATAAAAATAAGCAGTATATCTTTTCAATAAATCTGCTAGCACTGTAGGGCAGCTGTTAACCAAACAGAACTGGATAGGGTTACTGGAACAATCTCTGAAGGGCAGAGCTGATGATTCGGAGATCTGGGAAGAATTTGTTTCAGCTTGTATTCAATGCATTCCTCACCCTATTCAGTTGTAATAAAGTATTCTAAATGCCATTACTCTGAGTTGGAAAATAAGAGTAGAAATCCTTACCAACTCTTTCTAAACAGTGCCACTTTGAGTAAAACAATATTAGTAAACATCTAAAAACTGTTAAATACCTTGAGAATTGTAAACTCAGGGAGAATGGTTGTAGGGTGGGGCATTTTTCCTCTAAACTGCATGTCTTCTATGTTTTGCAAACCGCATGCTTAAAAGTTATTGATTATTTTACCTCAGTGCAGATTATTTGGTATGTTGCATAGGAAAAAAGCATTTTTATTTTCTTTCTAAACTATATCTCTCTATTGAACATTAACGTTTGCTTTTATTTCAGCTCAGTTTGTACGCTAATAATGGCTAATTGTTATGTTCTAAGCACTAGTTTCTCTTGTATGCTTAAATTACTAGAGAAGCATATTGCAATAGCTTTTTTTTTTCTAAAAAAGAGTCTGTAGGAATATTGCTTCTTAGAATAAGATTTTCTTTTGCTTTTTTTTTTTCCTTTAAGTTGCCTCTTGGGAAAGTAAGGTTAATGCCATGTACAATACTAGTTTGCATGTATTCATTTAAATACTAAAAACTGTAGTACTGCTCGATCCATATCTGACTGCTAGGTTTCAATTGACAGCTGAGGATTTGTGACTGGACCATGAATCAAAACGGCAGGCATTTATACCCCAGTACCAGTGAGGATACATTGGGAATTACTTGGCAAAGGTAACATTTTAATTATTTCCAACCCTACACTTAGACCTAAAAATTACATGAGCTATAGTGTTTGTTTTTAACTAGCTTTACAGAAAATATATGTTAAGAATTTAGTTGTTTTGGCTATACTATCCCTCTTCTCTCACCCCACCCCCCTTTATTTCTTACTGAAGTGCAACATCAAATTAATTTGGGACTATAGCATATGCTAACTGATGATCGGGTTTTCTAAGTGCTGGCAAATGTTTTAAACAATTTATAATATTGTAGGAGAAAATTTGCCACTTAGATTTTAGAACCCGAAGAATGAAATCACAGTTTTAAGGAAGATTTTCAGCAATCTGAGGATAAAGCATTGGGTTTTCACATTGTGAAATCTTTTCATTTCGAGTCTTTCCTCTGCTGCTCATAATAGACTGGTTTATTATTCATTTATTCCCCTGTTAGAGGGGGAAAAAAAGCTAGAAGACAAATTTCAAATTAATCAATTTTGATGTTATTAGCAGCACCCATACCGATTTTTGGAATCATTAGCTAAAGTAAGAATTTGGTTTAAATGTGATTTTTAACTTCTCTTTCTGCATTGTTGTGGATCATTGAGGATTGACTTTATTTGGTTGGTTGGGAAAATTATTCCAAAACTTTATTTTCAAAACTAGTTTTGATATTGTCTCATGTATTGGTTTTAGAAAGGAAGTAGTTCTATGTCAGCTTATTATGTATTATTTTTGTAAAGAACAAATTGTGTTCAAATGGACAAATTAAATAATTAAAATCAGTGGTATAATCATATATAATAGGAGATAACAGTTTGCAGGAGAGAGTGAAGTAATCCTATAAGGAGTTCACCAAAAGCAGAACCAACACAATTTTCCAACTCTGCTATGATTGTAATCCTCTCTTTCCAGAAAGTGCCTTTGTTAAACGTACATAGTCAGATACCAGTTGTGAGTGGGCTGTCCATTTTCTTGCTTGCTAATAGAACCTGCTGAAGAGGAACGTTTCAAAGAATTAAGTTTAAGTGTCTGCTTTTATTTGGGTAAAAACTCAGAAAATTAGGAGAATTCTGTTTTTAAAACCTTAAATGAATTTTTATTAATTTACTACCTAAAAAGAATATAGTATGACTTTTCCTCTTTTTAAAGGTTAATGTAACATCTACCTTAAAAAAATTATACATTTTTACATATTTTGATTTGTTTGCAATAAGCTGGTATTAGTCCTCTCTTTGGAAAAAATAAAGTATGTTCTATAAAAAAGATAAGCTCAATGAAAGTGTCCTATTTAAATAGTCTTAATTAATAATTAATATTCTGAATTAGCAGCCTTAAACTCAAAGTGTCTTATTTAGTCTTAATTAGTATTTTCAAATTAATTTAATTGGATTTGATGACACAGTGGATTTGATTTTATTAAACAACTTCCTTATATTCCATGCTCTCCCTATCACTTACCAAAATGACCCATGCCTGCGTACAAGTATTACTTTATTTACAAAATTGAAAATCATACGAGATATGCTTCAGGTTTGTGGATGTGCCTATAGCTGTGTGAACTTCCAAATCTGTGGGTTACTACTGTTTAACGTTTACTTAATCTATAATAGAATATTATCTCTGAAATATATAAAAAGCTAAATAAAGATTTATATTATTGGAGATTTAAAATACAACTGCAGCTAGCTCCTATTAAATTTTGAGTCAAAAATTGATAGCCCCCAAATGGAAGAGGTGAGTGGTTACTGAATCCCCACAGCACACATGTATCAGAGTGAATTAGCATGATGATTAAACCCATCCTCTTAGGAGAGTATTGTTCATGATATGAATCTCCTTGGTGAAAAATTGCTGTGATAATCAGTTTCAGGTAACAGGAAGCCAGAAAAAAAGTCAGAATTTATTTAGCTAAGATTTCTTTTTCCCTCCCTCTCCAAAACAGTAATTTTATCTTCTAATTAGTATGTAATTGATGTGTAGAATGGCATCAGTGCTTCAAAAGTTCAAAAGAAGGTAGCTTTTGGTTTGTTTCTTCCCTTTCTGTGCTAGCTCAGAAGGCAGAGAATTGATAATGTCAGTGTCAAGTTCAGACGTTCACCCGGTAATTATTGAATGGCTATGGTGTGCCCCAGTACTGCCCCAATACCGTGACTACAAAAGCTCTCACAGTTCTTCAAATCTGAGCATCACACAGTTCAGAATAAATATGCTCAAATAAGATAGCAATTTGCTTTGCTTTGTTACAGTTTTCAAAAACTGACACACGTCGAATCCATATTTGATATAACAAATAGGCCATGTTTATGGCACAGTGGCTTTATTCATAATTTCTATTTTGTGCTGTGGCTTTTTTTTTAACTTAATGTTTTTTGGGTGTTTTTAAGAAATCTTAAATGTCTGTAACACTGCTATTTTTAAGGCAGGTAATAGATACCTAAAATCTTCAGGAAATGATATTGCTTTGGGATTACCTGAATACATTGAAAATATCTGAGAAATGTAGATTTATTCAACCAGAGAATTAAATAATTCCCCTTTGTCAGAATGGAATAAAGAAAATATCACGAGTTACTTTGTGCCTGGAGAATCTGTAGTAGAAAAGGACAAAGCAAAGCGACCGTTTTGGTGTTGCTTTGTTTTCTTTTGCCTTGAGCATTTGCTGTTTGTTGCATTACTTTCATCACAGTTACTGTCCATGGCCACCCTCTTTTGTGCCTAGAGGTGTTGCCATGCCAAATGCAGCTCCTTTCACGGGACTGAAAGTGACAGTGCCCAGGGAGCTGTGCAAGTATATATAATCAAAGCTGGAAGATTTCCTCCATCCTCCTCCCTGTTCCCCGCCAATGTATAAACATTCCCTTAGGAGCCAAAGCTGCCTCCTTTGGAAAGTTTGCACAGTTACTAGGTTGCAACCCTGAAGGTGTTTTGTTGTTTTGACCTTAGAATTTTGTGATCCATCGGTGGACTTTGTGTGTGTGTGTGTGTGTGTGTGTGTGTGTGTGTGCGTGTGCACATGCATGCATGCTCACATGTGAAGGAGTTGCTTGCAGCTTGAAAAAGTGAATCTTCCTAAGAGGTCTGGTACTGCAGTTAACCTAGATTGAAATCCCGTAAGTCAGGGGGCTCACTTACTTCACTCAGGAGAGGCTCACCTCTTGGGAGGGTAGGAGGTGATGAATTGCTCATGCTAAGTACTGTTGTGTTTGTGTTTTGTTCTCCTATGTGAATGAATTACCTTGTTGCATATGCGAGTTATGTGGGTATAAACGCATACAGCAGTTACTCCCTAACTGGCTTTCTTTCTTGAAACGATAGCCAGAACACAGCTTGTACTATCAAATATGAAAGAATAATATAATTGAATGAGAAAGAAAGCTGAAAGACAATCCAAGAATAATATAAACATAAGTTATTTTAAAACAGTGTAGGGAGTGCTTTATGCAAAAGAAAAACTGAATTTATTGTTCCATTTCTCCTTCTCCCTCTTCACCCCTTTCAAGAAAACGCAAAGCCACAAGTGAGTGGTTGTATGTGTCTGGTGGCTTATATAAACATAGAAGAAGCTTTCAGATGGCTAAAATAAATATGTGCGTGTTACTGAAGGATATGTTTACACAAACCATTTGCTCAGCCTCTGAAATAATGAATAAATGAAGACTTCACTGAAGTAATTGGAAGGATTTTTGTGTTTCTGCTGATGCCATAATTGAATGGCACCAAAGAGACTTTTATCAGCTATTCTCCATGTTACATGTGTTAGTAGTTCCTTTCTATGAGTTGAATACTTCATTCTGTAGTTACTTTACACGTGTTTTTGTAAGAAATTGTCATTTATTACTGCAATTCTAGAGAGTTGCTTGATTTCCCAAGAGAAATTTAGCAGCCAGTAAAAATTATTTGGATCTGGTTGGTCAGGAGAAGAAGGGCGAGAAGGAAAGGGTAGCAGGAGTCATTTCATACATATAGCTTTATTTGCATAACACTGTCTTCAACCATTTTCGTTTGCTTTGTCCATAAATATTTGCTACGTGTGCTCCCAAAAGACTTAAGAATGAACATTTAAACAAAAATAATCTTCAGTATTGAATCATAAACCATACATATATATGTACATATATGTACATGTATGTATGTGCACACATACATGTGCATATCCACACATGTATGGCATGTGTCTGATAAGGACAGTATGTGTCATGTACTTAGGTGGTGTTAAGAGTTAAGTTTTATTTCAGCATTACACTTAGATTATCCCTGCAAATTCACTAGATTAGCATTTTCTGCTTTCAGTTTGTTATCTTGACACATAACTACAGTACAACAGCTGGGTTGTTCCTGGAGTTCCTGGGGGGAGCTTTATTCTCAGAGTGCTGAATTTCCTTTTCAGCTGTCAGCTCTAAAGTGTGTTCAAAATGTTCAACTTTTTACACACCATTCTGGGCCCCTAGCACCACTCCGGGACTACGATAGAAATGCTGATAAGGTAGATGAACGGAATAATCTTTGGTTCAAGACAAAGACTTACAAAAGCCAAAACTGAAACATGACCATTGTTTGGTAATGGGGCTACGAACTAGTGTTGCTTTTTTTGTATTTGTGTGTTCTGTTTAAAAAATTACTCCAGTCTGATCAAGATCATTTACACCTGCTAGGAAATCAAAGCTAAATATTTTCCCATTTGGAAAAATTATCTTCATGGGATTTTCTCACACACAAACACACACACGATATCTGGGATCTGGCTGTTGAAAAATATATTGGAATTTGTTGTAGTTTTGTCTAACTTTCTCCATGTATAAAGAAAGATGTGCACAACACGATGTTTCCTTTTTATCTAGGCAAACTCTTCAGAACACTTCCTAAGAAATGAATTGTATTCCAGCCAGACTAGCATGCTGCCATCCCACAGGAAATGGGTCAGCAATCCATTAAGATGCCATTAGATAATCTAATTTGGAACTTAATCTCTAAATTAACCATGCTCCATACTTGAAGCGTACTTGAGAGGAAGAAAAAAAAGTTTACGTTTGAATCGATAGGGGAGCCGAAGCGTGAAGAAGGCTGTTTGTTTTTTCTGTAGCTGTGGTCACGTCTCAGGCCGTCTGGTAACCAGGAGAAACCAGACATGATGTAATTCCAGATTGAACT